ACACACACACACACGTTACACACACACACACACACACACAGTGGTACAGCGGTTACACACACAGCGGTTACACACAAACACACACACACACACACACACACACACAGCGTTTACACACACACACACACACACAGCGGTTACCCACAAACACACACAGCGGTTACACACAAACACACACACACACACAGTGGTTACACACAAACACACACACACACAGTGGTTACACACACACACACACAGCGGTTACACACAAACACACACACACAGCGGTTACACACAAACACACACACACACACACACAGTGGTTACACACACACACACACAGTGGTTACACACAAACACACACACACAGCAGTTACACACACACACAGACACACACACACACACACATACACACAGCGGTTACATACACACACACACACACACACACAGCGGTTACATACACACACACACACACACACACAGCGGTTACATACACACACACACACACACACACACACACACAGAGTGAATCAGAGAGCGTCTGTGAGGGTTTCTGACTCTTTGAGCTCGTCGATGATCTTCTGTTTGTGGTTGATGTCGTCGCGCAGACGGCCGAGCTGCTTGTGCTGCGGCTCCCGCTGAGCGTCTGCTTTCTGAAACACACACAAACACACTTAACACCATACAAATACAGCCAACTGCAGAATTCACACGCATTTCCAGCAATAGACCAAATGGTTGAGATTTACCTTTCCGTTTCCAGACTCGTCCGTGTCCAGCGGGTTATCCTGAGCACTTTCTGTGAACATGGAGACAATAACTTTACAATCCGAACATATCACTGTATGTCTAAAACTTGTTTTTACAGGATCTACAGACAGTGAAATATGTTTTCTTTAATAGCTGAGTGATGATAAAGTACTCAGAGTTGCGTGATTGATGAAGCCAGGCTTATTACAGTTAACTAAAACCAAACAATGACTAAAAAAAATGAATAAATAAATAAAAATGTTTCATTTCAACTAGTATCTAAGGCAACAATTCTTTTTTATTTAACTTTTAACTTGATAAACTAAAATAACTCAATTTAAAACTGAAATAAAAATAATAAATTACTAAAATTACTAAATGAAAGCAGAATATACATATAAAAATGTAAATTAAAATATTTACAAAAACTATATTAGTATCTCAATGATATGACCCATTAATGATGTGAAGCGTAAAACTTTAACAGTTTGTACTGTTTAATTTATTTTGATAAAATAATGTTATATTTTATCAAATAAAATATAATTTTTTAAATAAAAAATACACATAAAATTAAGCTTTTAAATATTTGAACAAGTTCAAACTTGTTAAAATTAAGCACTTCAGCAAAGTTTATACCATTTTCAGTTTATTTTATGTTGACACAAAACAACTTATTTAAAAAAATACAATATATTTATAAAATAAAATGTAAAAGTATGTACAGTATTTATTTATTTTATTCAATAAATACACCTATAAAAATAAACACACCAATGTTGGTCAAATATTCATTTTAAAATATACAGAATTTGTAAATATACATATAAAAAAATTTGAATATACAGAATGTATTTAAAAAAACAGTTGTTTTATGTGATATTTTTGATCAGTATAAGTGTGTGTGTGTGTGTGCGCGTGTGTGTGTGTTTTGTACCTGCGGTCTGTAGTTTGGTGAGTTCTTCACTCAGACAGTCATAGTTGTTCTCCAGCTGCCGTTTCTTGAGCTCCATGTTCTGCATGTATTCAGTCAGAGAGCGGATCTTCGCTTCATGCTGGAAACACACAGAGACTTCATCTGTGAGTGTATTCATATGTGTGTGTGTGTGTGAGTGTGAGTGTGAGTGCGTGTGTGTGTGCGTAAGTGTGTGCGTGTGTGTGTACCTTGTCGTCGAGCTGTTTGTAGAGTTTGCGTATCTCTTCCTCATATTTGAGCTTGTGTTCCTCTGGGATTCGCTCACACGCGCCATTGCTCTGATTGTCTAAAGCTGCGTCTTCACTGACATCAGATTCAACAGGAATCACAGCCATGAGATCCAGCGGCGTGACAAACTCACCTGCAGCACAGTCACACACTCATTTACCACATTTACTATAGTCAAATCAGAAGACATTATTCTGGAATTTCCTTTAAACAGTGTAAGGTTTTATAATCTTTCTCATTTTGTTGAATTACCTTGGTTTTACTAGAGTTTTATTTTAGCAACTCTTGCATTAATTACTTCTAATGTGGTAGTACCATGGTATTTTTTTAGTAAGTGGTCTAAAAACATGGTATTCCCATAGTAAATGTCTGATAAATCATAGTATTACCATGGAGCATGTCCAAAACACTCATGGTACTTTTTTCATGAGTAAAGAGCAGCTGTAGTGACTGAACTTCTGAAGAAACCTTTGAGTGTTTTTTTGTGTCAAAAAGAGAGAAATAATGCATATTTCCACACCGTTATGCCAGTGGTTAAGCTCCGCCTCCAGTCTCTGGATGTTCTCTTTCAGGTTCTTGTTCTTCTCCTTCTCTTTCTCATATTTCCTCTTCCACTGCTCTGCCGTCAGCTCCAGGTTCACAGACGCCGTGTTCTTGATGGTCTTTGCTCTGAGACACAGAGAGTGTGTGTGTGTGAGTGATGGATGTGTGTGTGTGTGTGTTTGTGTGTGTGTGTGTGTGTGTGTGTGTGTGTGTGTGTGTGTGTGTGTGTGTGTGTGTTACCGTTGTCCGAACATCAGGGTGGATTTGGTCTCGGCGTCGTTGAAGGCTGAAGGTGAGCAGCAGATGAACATGGTGGTTCTGCAGTTTCCTCCCAGAGAGTCCTGCAGGATCCGCGTCATCTTACTGTCTCGGTACGGCACGTGAGTCTTCTGCTCACACACAGCACAGAGTTATTAACAGTGTTGGGGAGTTTGTTTGCAGTTATTGCTGCTAAAGGTGGCACAAACAGATTTTAAGTTTAAAGGGGCAAACTGTTTTTTCTCACGGGTGATAGCTGGTGTTGGATAACAATTTTTATTTTGTTTAGATATACACAGTATTTAAATGGGTTAAGACGGTCTGTCTTCTACTTTGAACTGCAATAATTTCATGCATGTTATGTTTGTATTAGTTATATGCAGCTGTAACTCACGGTTCCTTCAGCCAGAGCTGATATGACATTCCCCAGCGCAGACAGAGACTTGTTGATGTTCTTGGCTTCATCCAGGACGGCTCCTTCTGCACCTGTCTTACTCACCTGACCAACACACACAGATTCATGGTTATGCGGCTGTTCACATACACCGTATAAATTCCAGTGTAAAGAGTAAGTAATTTTAGAATATCGCACTAGCATACTACCTGTACTGTTTTTGCAGTATGTATACTGTACACAACATGTGAATTGTCTGTATGCATGGAGTACTAAAAAGTTTGCAGTACACCATCTGCAGTATGCATTATGCTAGTATTCCAGTGCATACAGTGGCTGAATCTGGAATAGCATAATTCCATACTACTTATACTATTTTTGCAGTATGCATAATGTGCACATTATGTGTAGTACAATATGCATTCTGTGCAGTATGCTAGTATTCCAGTGTGGCTGAATCCACAATATAACACTAGCATACTACTCATACTATTTTTGTAGTATGCATACCATGCACAATATGTGAATTTTCTGTATGCATGGAATACTAACTAGTATGTAGTACATTCTGCACAGTATGCTAATATTCCAGTGTATACAGTGGCTGAATCCACAACATTACACTAGCATACTAATCGTACTATTTTGGCAGTATGCATACTGTGCACAATATATGAATTTTCTGTATGCATGAAATATTTTAAAAAATGCAGCATTTTTTGTGCAGTATACATTATGCTAGTATTCCAGTGGAAAAAGTGTCTGAATCCACAATATTACACTAGCATACCACTCATACTATTTTTGCAATATACATATTGTGCAAATATGCATATTTTCAGTATGCATGGAATACTAACTAGTATGTAGTACATTCTGCACAGTATGCTAGTATTCCAGTGCATACCGTGGCTGAATCCGGAATATTATAGTATGCATAATGTGCACAATGTGATTTTTCTGTATGCATGGAATGCTAAAAAGTATGCAGTGTGCTAGTATTCCAGTGTATACGGTTGCTGAATCGGGAACATTACACTAGCATACTACTCTTACTATTTTTTACAGTATGCATACTGTGCACAACATGTGAATTTCATTAGCTATGTTTCCATCCAAAGTTGCTAATTTCATATATGCGAAACTATTGGAATCTTGCGTAAAACATTTGCGAATAAATCCCATCCAATGTGTTCAAAAGAACAAAATCATTAGTTTCTGGGAAACTGGTGCAAAGCATCAAATAATAAAGCCACTGTGACTCTTCTTTTCCTACATAATAATTAATTTGTGTCTCAGAGCGCGCAGGCGAAATGCAATAACTATCGCTGTCATGTTATCTTGCGTTCGGATGCCTGATGTTTGGGACTCAATCTTGTGAGACAGTTAATTATATCAAATGATTTTGATGACAGACTTTGATTTAGGCAATACAAAATGAGTAAAACAACATTTGAGACTGTGTGCGATGAGATCGGTCCACTGGTTAGTCGAAGTCATATACGTTTTTTGTTGCATATGAAGGAATTTATTCAGTAAATGTTTTTACATTGTAGTTTATGTGCATGCCTACTTGTCGGTTGCATATGTTTTTTCCATCCAGCGTTTTTTTGTGCAATACCCCACAAGTTGCATTAAAATACGTGCATGAAAACACAGTTATTGACATGTTTAAGCCATTAATGAGATCTCATTAGTGATTGTTCTTTCCTACAGGTGGACACACTGTTGTGAAGCTCTTGTGAAGCTAAAGGATGTCAGAGTCTGAAAGCACCTTCTCGCTCCCGGCCAGATCCACCAGGTAAAGTTTCCCGCAGAGCTTCTGCTCGGTCTCCACGTGCTCCTGCTTGATGTTGATGAGGAATATGCTGTGGCTTCTGGAGCTGTGCTCATTCATATCTGACACGCGACAGCACAGCAGTCAGATCATTTGATTAGTAGCTTTACATTACATTCATGCATTTGGCAGATGCTTTTATCTGAAGTGACTTGCATTGCATTGAAGGCATGCATGTGATCAGTTTATGCATTCGCTGGGATTCAAACCCATAACCTGCAGTTTGAGTTATAGCAATGCTTCTGTGATTGTCTGTTAGTGTGGGTTAGAGAAACTCACTTGTAACAGCAACGTGGCGGTTGGCTTTGCCTTCATCAATAACATCCATCACTTCTTCAGGACTGGAGACGAAACGTTCAGTACAGCCCTGTACAGCACACACACACACACACACGCACTGAATGTGATGGCTGGTCTTTATCTAATAATAGCAGGTGCTCCCTGAAATCTCATGGTTCTTTCACTGTCAGTCTCTCATCAGTAATTAACTGACACAAGATGAATTCATATAATGAGTCTGTTTATCATTCCACAGTCAGTATTTCAACACATCCATTCTGAAATGATTCCCATCATGTGTGTCACTGCTTCATATTACAGGCTTAAATAGCATCACATACAGTATGGTATATTATCATATATCAAATCAAATAAGATATGTGATGCAATATTATGTTACTGTACTCGATCACATATGTATATACAGTATATGGTCCAATATAACATGTAACATGATTTGATATGATATGAGATTAATGATATGACATATGATATGGGATATGATACAAGATTATGATACTGTATGATTTAATATATGATATGATTAATATGGTGCCTCAAGCATGGCTCCTACATATGATATATACAATATCATGATACTATATGATATGATTTGATATGATAAGATACATTGTGATAGATGATGATTACATATGATATGAGATAATAAGATACATGATGTGATATGATCAAATATATATGATATATGATACAGTATATGATGATATCATATATGATATGATAAGATATGAGATGTGATACAATATATATGATGATACCATATGATACGATACGATATTATATATGATATATGTTATGGGATATGATATGATTAATATGGTGCCTCAAGCATGGCTCCTACATATGATATATACAATATCATGATACTATATGATATGATAAGATAAGATACAATGTGATAAATGATGATGACATTTGATATGATAAGAGATTATAATATATACGATGTGATATCATAAAATATATGATGTATTATGATATATATACATTATTATGATACTATATGATATGATTTGATATAATACAATATATAATATGTGATGCAGTACTATAAGTTGTATGATTTCATATTATGTATGATATAACAATATATGACATGATTTGATAAATGTTTTTTATTATGAAATATGATATGATACAATCCAATATAATATATCATGCATGATATGAAATCTGATATGATTCAAAATATTATCTATCTATATATCTAGCATATATTATGTCATATATGATGAGGAATGATAATATTTATCTTATTTTTGAAAAGTTTTTTTTTTTCAGTAAAGGCTCTTTTTGGACGGGAGGAAGTTTTGAGTTCTGAAAGTAACTCATTTATTTGAGCAAGGTTCGATTGCTGCTGCTGTGTGTTCACGCAGCGTGATTCAGCTCACCTTCACATAGGGAACTCGGTTCTTGTCTTCATGCACGGACAGATTTGTCTTACTCACTGAGAGAAAGAGAGAGAGAGAGAGGCGGATGAGGGTCAAAGAACAGAAGACAGAATTGGACATGCACTGCAAAACGAGAAAGAACAAAGAAAAGAGGCTTAAATGGTTTGTTCACCCCCCAAAAATTACAATTCCGTAGTTTCAAAGCTGTGTAACTTTATTTATTTTGTGGAACACCAAGATGTTTAACACGATGTGATAGTAAAGAAAACCACCGTGCAAATCATAAAAGCAGTCTTGTATGTTTCAGGTTCTTGCGTGTCTGATGCATTTCGCTCTGTTTTTCACATAAACCATATTGTATGAGTTCAGAAGAGTTAGTTTGCAAACACTGTGTTTAGGGTGTTTAGTACGGAAGCCTGTTTCATGGAATAAATAAGACGCAAAAGGTAATTGCAACTTTTGATCTCATCACTCTGACTTTTACTTAATTTTTTTCCTCCAAATGTATCTTGCAGTTCTGTGAAGTCTTAATTGTGAGATAAAATGTTGAAATTACCTTTTTTTATTCCATGGTGTTGAGATAATATTATAGTTCTTATTAATAGTTTGAATTATTTAAACATTTTCTGTTTTTATTTTAAAGTTGTAGTAATTTAGTTGTGTTTTGTCATTTATTATTATTATTTGTTTGCATGTGTCTATATTGTTTTTATTTTATTATTTTTTATTATATATATTTGTTCATAAAATACATTTAGATAATTTTTTTTTTTTTACATATTTACATGTTATATTTTATTTCACGTAACATTTATTTTATTGCAAGTGTTTATTTCAAATGTTTTATTTTTTTATTTCAGTTGTTTTAATACATTTAAGTTTTTTATAATTTATTTCATTTTTATTTTTTATTTTTTTATTTCAAGTAAGGATTTTTTTATGGTTTTCGTTTTAGTTAACTATAATAACCCTGCTTCTTTCATTTTAGCATTAACTTTTTGGTAACCACTTTATTTTGGGCTCCACAGAAGAAAGAAGGTCAAGCGGGTTTGGAGCGACATGAGGGCGAGTAAATGATGACAGAATCTGTATTTTTGGCTGAATTATTCCTTTAATGAGCACATGCACATGTAATGCACGGACAGTTCTCAGTGTTTATTATGACTCTTCAATGATGTAACGACCCTTCGAGACAGACAGACACACACTCACACACACACGCACTCACTCACACACACACACACACACACACACACACACACACACACACTCACGCACTCTCTCACACACACACAC